CATTGTTTTCTTAAAGGAAAATATTTCTGATATTCCTGTTTTCCGAAGATGAACTGAGGCAAAGTAGAGTAATCACACCTTATATTTGACAAAATTTTAGTGTTTACCAGGCAAAAATAATATATATATATTTAGTTTCATTGATTCTCATTCCACTCCTATACATAGGGAAAGAGGCTACTTTTAGAGATCTTTTTTTAGCTTAAATATACCTCTTTTGAAAATAGTTCTGCCAGGCACTTTGGGAAAGGATTGAGATTTTTCTCATTTATAAAAAGAAAACAGGAAAACCAATAATATTTCCGGTGTGGGTGTTTGCATTAAAAAAATATTCCACTACCATAGTAAATCAATCCTTTCTCTTCTACCAAAACATTTATGAAACTTTCTTCTCTGTTTTAACAAAGTGTGTGGCTTAGTCTTTTTAAAGAAACTGAAATACTGTAGTTGGAAAACAGATACTGGTGGTAGAGCAGGAACTGTCAAGCCCAGAAACATAAACTTCCAAAGGCAGCAATGTGTATGTAATTAGTCTTCACAGTTCCTAACACACTATGGCTGAGAATTCAAGATAAGTTTTTGGTGGTGATGTGCACTATATAATATCCACAGCAAAGAGGAGTATAAGAGATGCTGTTTGTTCACTTCTTGTTGCATAGTTAGTAGGCTAATCAGAAATTCCAGGAAGAGTCTGAAACTGGGTTCTTGGTGTGGAATAGGAGGCTCATACATTTCAAACATGCTTGTGAAATGCACAATACTGTTCAGTGCTATAAATGCATTAATAAAGGAAAAATTTGGCACATGCATGACTAATTCTTAATCCTTTGGGAGAAGTGAAAGCCTGTGGAGCATCTTCAAAGAAGACAGTCAATTCTCACCTATGAGAACTGCTGGAGATGGAATAAAGCAACTAGATATGGCTCCTGACTGAAATAAGCAACACTTCTGAAGACATTGAACATTAGGAAATGAAAGACCGTGATCTTGAGAAGTGGGAAACAAATGAGGAGACTCCTACAATTTCTCCAGTTTACTGCCTTTGGATAGTTTCCAGTCCATGGTGCTAGAAGGGAGAATTCAGATGTAGCCCAGTGAACTCCAGAGATGAGGAAACAGAGCTGAGAGTCCAGGGAGGCAAAAGGGCTGAGAGTTCATAGGTTAGAGGTCCAGAGGGGAGAGACCCGCACAGAAAGAATCCCAGAGATCGGCAGAAAGTCTCCATGGATTAACCAGTAGAGTACCGATTGCACATGCATATAAGGAAATCATCTGAGACTGGGGAAAGAGCCATTTGAAAGGAATATTTGCCCTCTCTTGCACAGGGCTCTTTCCCACCAGCAAGGTTGGAAAAATTTATAATTCATAGAGCACTGGAAAGAAACTCAGGAAGGCCTTGCCTTAATATTAGGAAATAATAGGCCCTAAAATAAGCACTACTCTGGACACTCATAACAAATCATAATGGCAAGACCTACAATGACCCAACTCTTCCCATGTAACCTAACTCCTTCCCAGAGCAGAGCCCATAAATATTTACATGAATACAAAAGTATCCCACACCTGACAGCATTTTACAATGTCTGGCATTAAAAGGTGCAAAATGGCTACTAATGAAGAGTATAATCACTCAAAACAAAACCAGAACTAATATAGATGTTGCAATTAGCAAACAAATATATTAAAAATAGTAAAACAGTTTTCCCCTTAAGTTTATTGGTACATTTTAGGTATGCAGTACAGTTACATTCATCATTAGGATCTTGTACCTTTACATGACAGATCTTGGTTCTTATTTTTTCCCCATTCTCTCGCTCTCCCTTCACCCCCTCCACATTTTAGGTGCAGTACAGTTACATTCATCATTAGGATCTTGTACCTTTACATGACAGATCTTGGTTCTTATTTTTTCCCCATTCTCCTGCTCTCCCTTCACCCCCTCCACCCTTCTCTATTTATAAAGACTTTTTTTCCCCATTTGTCATATTTTTTTCCTTCTTTCCTTTCCCCTCATACTTCTCCTACTCCTTTAGCCCTTTCCTTCCTATTTCACAATATCAATTATACATTTTGATCCTTATTTACACTTTTAGCTTTTCACATCAGGGAAATTGGTATTTAGGACACATGTGTATACTATTTATTTAAAACAGTATTTATAACTGTATTCCACCTGTCACAAAGACAAGTGGAGACGTAGAAGATCCAAAGAGAAGATTGAAATAGGATTTGTAAAGATGAGAAGTATAATGGCTATGATGAATAATATATTGGATAAGAAATCAATGGCAATTTAGATTTGGCCACAAAAAAATAAGTGAATCTGAAAGTATATCAAGAGAAGTTATCAGAAGTGAAATGGAGAGAAAAAAGATTTTTAAAAAATAGAATGAGTGTTAATGAGCTTCAATATTTTCTCCTAATAATTGATGGAAACACTAAAAAGAAAATTAGCAAGACTACAGCAGATTTGAGCAACACTATCAGCTAATTTGACCTGACTGACATTTATAGAAAGCTCCACCCAATAGTAGGATACAAACTTTTTAAATACATATGACACATTTATCAAGGTAGACAGTATTGTGGGGTTTAAAACAATGCTCAAGATTTTAAATGATTCCCATTATGCTAAGTTTGTGTAGAACTGGTATTATTTATTTCTTAGAGATTTTGTCAAATTCACCAGTAAAAATCATCAGTGCCTAGAGTTTTCTTTTTGGGAAGGTTTGAACTACAAATTCAATCTATTAGGCATAGGCTATTAAAATTATTTCTTTTTGAGTGAGCTTTGGTGATTTGTGCATTTCACGAAATTTCAGTGTTTCACCTAAGCTATCTAAATTAAATAAAAAATCAACAGTAGAAAGATCTGTGAAAAGTGCCCAAGTATTTGCAAACTCAAAAAGCACTTAGTATTTTGAAATGAATGAAAATGAAAACATCCAAATATGTAAGATTAGAAGAAAGCAGTACTTATAAGGAAATTTATAGCATTTCCAATATTGATAAAGGTTTCATATCTGTGACCTAATTTTCATGTTAAGTCAGAAAAAGAAAAATGAGTTAAATTCAGGGTAAATAGATGAATATAATAAAATTTAAGCAGAATGCAACAAAATAGAAAAATAATAGATAAAAATCAAGAAATATTTCTTTGAGATCAATAAAATTGATAAACCTATATAGTTTAAACTCACCAGAAAAAGAGAGAAGACAGATAATCAATATAAGCAATGAGATAGAGGAGGCATATTCTACAGATATGAAGGACAACCAGGGAACATTTTGCATATAAATTAGACAGCTTAAGTGAAAAACAGAAATATCTTGCAATACACAAATTGCAAAACTCACTCAAGGAGAAATAACTTAAACAGCCTGTACCTAATAGAGGGACTGAATTTGTAGTTAAGTAAAGAAAACTCCAGGTACAGATGATTTTACTGATGAATTCAACAAAATATTAAGGATGAAATAATACCAATGCTACACAAACTCTTTGGGGAAAGTAGAGAGGTAGGCATATTTCCCAGCTTATTCTTTGAAACCAGATTACCCTGATACCAAAACCAGAAAAAAATAATACATGAAAGAGTGACTGTAGGTCCACACTCATGAATATAGATGCAAAATTCTAAACAAAAATTTAATGAGTCAAATTCAGTAATAGATAAAAAAGGTAATACCCCAATAATGGAGGGCTCATTGAGTATTCAAAAACCAGCTAAAAGGGCACTTGCCCTATTGGTAACACATGTTTGTTGCATTCTCTTTCAATATTAAGCTTTTATAGCATTAATAAAGGCTAACTGATTTATTTTTTATGATGAGTAAATACAATAATAAACATAAAAACATCTAATAGGCTGAAGACAAATTGGTATCAGTATATCTTCTGCTACTTAAAAATGTTTTTATTACTTGATTATGTTTCAAACATGCTTCTGTCATAGAAGAAAAGAACATTGGCTAACTGCTTCCTATCCGAGTTGGCATTTGCTGTTGTGACCTCACCAATGAACTATCATTTCCATGATTGTGGGCAGGTTTCATAATCCCATGGCTTTAGAGCAGTGTTAATTGAAGTGCTAGTCTGCAATCCAATAAACTCGCATCCAAATGGAAACTGCAGAACTGTTTCCTTCTTTGGGAGTCTTGCTACAAGAAAATCATTGTCAGCTGGACCCATCAATGCTTGGTTATGCAGTCATCTTACATCACTGACTGCATGCTCCTTATCTTTTCATGGGCTGATAAACTGTTTAAACTAGCACTTGTTTGAGCACCAAAGTCTTAAAGTATAAAAGATCTTACACAATGTTACAGTTCTAAAGTCAGTACTTGTTTATGGTTGGTCTCATGCCATCACTTCATGGTGTATTTTGTGAACATGTGCATTAAGTTAGATGAGTTCGTGTCACTGATAAATGTCACTTTGAGGGCCAGGAATTTAGCTCAGTGGTTCTGCTGCCTGCCTTGCAAGTTTGATCCCAAATGCTGAAAAAAAAAAGCATTGTTTTGGGGCCAGGGATTTGGCTCAGTGGTTCTGCCACCTGCCTTGCAAGCGCATGGGTCCAAGTTCAATCCCTGGTACAAAAAAAACAAAACAAAATTTGACATCTATATTTTCTTTTTGGATCACTAAATATAGTAGATGCAAATGTATGCTCCTCGTGTTGTAACCATGTGGAATCCACTAAAAATAGCTTGCATCAAAATAGTTGGGAGATGAATCAATATTTTGACATAAGATCTGAGATGGGATAGCAAATAGGTTTCTTCTCCCCTGACGACATGTACTGAATGACAGTGTTTCTCTATGCACTATGTGAAGACAGATTAGTGAATGTGTCTGGGAACAAGTTCTGTGGTTGACTAGTGATGTCTGCCGTTGGTGTGGGAATGAAGCAAAGCAACACCTCACACCAGCTACTTGTCATCTGAGTCTTGGAGTTTTCTTTCTACTAGAAAGAGTGACTTGAGTTATTCTGTTGCAGGACATGAAAATTATGGCAGGAAGGAAGAAACAGATCTGACTTATGAACCAGGAGATGCCTCTCTTCAAGAAAATTACATGGATGTAGCCTTCCTTATAGATGCTTCCCAAAGAATAGGACATGATGAGTTTAAGGAAGTGAAAGCTTTTATAGTCTCAGTGCTTGATTACTTTTATGTTACCACAGATCCACTGACCTCCCCCTTAGGAGACAGAGTGGCTGTTCTGACTTACTCTCCCCCAGGCTATCTGCCCAACACTGAAGAATGCCCAGTCTATCTGGAATTTGATTTGATTACTTATAGTGATATAAACCAAATGAAACATCATCTCCAACACTCTCTTCAACAGCTCAATGGAGATGTTTTTATTGGTCATGCCCTGCAGTGGACAATCGATAATATCTTTGTGGGAACCCCCAATCTGAGGAAAAACAAAGTTGTCTTTATAATATCTGCTGGTGAAACCAATCCTTTAGACAAGGAGATTTTAAGGAATGTATCTCTGAGAGCCAAGTGTCAAGGATACGCCATATTTGTATTTTCCTTTGGTCCTTTACACAATGACAAGGAATTAGAAGAATTAGCCAGCCACCCCTTGGATCATCACTTAGTCCAGCTTGGCCGGACCCACAAGCCAGATTTGGACTATATAATCAAGTTCATCAAGCCATTCGTTCATTTAATCAGACGTAAGTTATTCAAAACTTTCTCCTCTAGATCTGGGGGTAAAGCTCAGTGGTAGACTGCTTGCTTAGCATGCATGAGGCCCTAGATTCAATGCCCAGTCCTTAAAAAAAGATTTTCTCTTTTACTGCTTTTGCAATAGTTCTAATGTCTCTGTGTACAATTCATCAGCAGACTTAGTCAAATGATACTCACTTCAGTTATGAGTGGTGGAATGTAGGTGAGTAAGAGGCAGTGAAAAAAACCGCAGAGAAATATTCAAGGTCTTATTGACCTTGAGCTGTGCTGCTGCCCTCTGAGGGCTTTTTTGAGGAAGTCCTCAAATGGATGAAAAGTTTCCTTTAACCTAATCTGTGATTGTTTACTATATGCCAGCTTCTTTTAATTGGTCATGCTAATTTAGTCTTCAGCCCTCAAAGGAAAATAATCATAGTCTTTTTTATAAAGGAAAAAGTGAGGTTCAGGGACATTAAATAAATTCCTTAAAGGATCACAATTAATTGGGAAATTCTAGACTCTGCCCCATACATTCTGACCCGAGAGCTATATTCTTGTCCTTTATACTTTAGTTACTAAAATCTTAAGATATAGTGCTATAATAAACAGTACTACTGCCACTATCCTCTGCCTGTTCCAAGGACTTCTATTTTTTCCTGCATTCTAATTAACCTTGGTTTTGGCTTGAATTCTTCTGACCTCTGGGTACAAATGTCAGCCTGGACACAGCAATGCAGGGACTTTCAAGGTGTCTTGACACAGGGCATTCTGAGAGTGTTGCCCCAGTCTCTGCCCACGTGTCCATTTTAGGTGTAGGTATAGCAACACAGTGAAGATCTTATGGTGCTAAACAAGTCTTGGCCTCCACTGGGACACAGGAACGGGGCAGTAGCCACTCTGGTGGTTTTCTGAAGCTGCTGGGAGTTTGCTAGTTTTTCAGGATGAATATTTTTCTGATACTCACAGTGCCCCAGGACTCCCATAGTCCTCAACAGTCTTGGAATTTAGGAGTTATGTTTAATAGCAGGCAAAATAATGGTGTCTTCTCACAACCCCAAGCTTTAATAAGCAGGCAATTCCAATAACTAATGAAGTCACCTGAAAAGATCCTCCATTTCCAAAGAGAAAAACAGATCATAGGAGAATTTAAGAGATGTCCTTGAATTATATCACAAACCTTCACATACAGAACATGGGGATATTTTATTCAATTACTGCTATATCTTCTTGACTTGGCCAACATTAAGGTATTTGAACCTTAAAGTGTGCCTTTGCCTAGTCCCTTAAAATTAATTTGTTTTTGAAAATACCACCAGCCACAGGAAAAGATAAAATGACTTTGAGTGATAGTCATAATGTGAGAAGGTGAAATCTAAACTAATCAGGATACCCTCTCTCTCCAGGTGCTATCAACAAATATCCCGACAATGATCTGAAAGCCAAGTGTGCTAACATCACCTTTCCCAGCCCAGAGAATGTTGGCACAGAAAACACTGTGTTGTGAGTTGAGAAATTCCAAGTTTGGGAAATGTTGCAATATAAACAGCACTTTAGAAAATATTGTGAAGCTAATAGCATTTTGGTTTTCAGGATGCAAGTTTTGGGGTGTGTGAGTTTTATTTGCAATAGTTTGTGATACCAACACAGACTCAGAGTTAGTAGCAGATAGAACATGATGTATGCTAGAAAGAGTCATGTTTCTATTTTTGTTGGGGGGGAACTGAAACTCTTATTTATACATTTTTAGTAATTAAGTAACATGATTCTAATATTGGATAATGCCAAAAAAGAAAACACTATATCAAAGATTGGAGCAGAAGAAAAACATGAAAAAGAAAACCAAAAAAATAGCTTCTACATTTAGAAAACAAAACATATATGAAGACTAGCAAGAAGGACTCTTTCAAGATTTACTTGAAATCCCAAGTACTCAATAAAAATTCAGTGATGAAAGCCGTGTTGGTTTGGAGTCTTAGACTATTGAGACAAATAAATGTTCAATTTATTTGAATGTTCAGAATATTAGGAAATTGCCCCTTAGTAGCATTCCACCTGCAAACTACATTTAGACTTTTCCAATGGTGTGCATAAAATGGATTCCTGTTTTATTATTTGGCTATATTTAATTTAATCTTGCAAGGGACTTGGCTAACTAATTTTTCATCTTTTCCCTCCATCACTTCAGACTTATTCCTGAGGTATATGAAATAGAAACAGAGGACAGTGAGCTGTTTGGTCACCTTGGTTCCCAGGAGCAACATTTCTTTGAATTGGGAGATAACAGTAGTAATTCTGGGATTGCTACTGATTTGACCCAGAAGTCATACATGCTCTTTTTGCCTGGGGAAGTGATGCTGAATGACAAGGAGGAGGCATATTCAAAAGAAATTATAGCTCCAGGAAATGATAAGCAACAAGGAGAAAAAGGTAATCTTGAGAATAATAGTTGAAGATCCTAATGCAGGGGTGGCGAACCTGTGGCACTCATGTTGTTTTTCTTTTAAGACAGAAGATGTTAATGCATGAGTTGTTTTTTCTAAAACAAAACCTCAGTGTTCACGTTCAATTGCAGTGTTGGCACTTTGCAATAAATAAGTGGGTTTTGGGTTGCACTTTGGCATTCATTTCTTCAAAGGTTCACCATCCCTGCCCTAGAGAACTTTGTTATTTGTATTTCCTCTGGTGAAAGAAGAGCAGTGAGGATTCACTAGATCTGGTATAGATGACAGTACAAGGTAAGAGGGGTTTACGGTCCAGGGCCACAAGAGGATCCACAAAATAAGAAAAGAAAGGTGAAAAGGAAATTGCTTGTACTTCAACAGTCAGAATTAGAAGTAGATGTAAAGGCTTGGTGTGGAATGAGGGACAATTGACAAGTGAGAGGGACGTGAATGAGGACGACAGGTCCTAAGTAGGCAGGAGGAAGCGGCACCCCTGTGCAGAAGGTGCTGAGGGAGTTGTGCAAGGGACCTCCAGAGCATCAGCACTTGAGTTCTGCCTTCTGCCTTTGCAACTAGGGCTTTCCCAGTTTGAGATGCAGGCTCCTCACTGAGCCTCAGTGCCAGTGGAGCGGTAGAGGGCAAAGCTGCCGAGGATCTAAGATCCTTGCGGAGGCTACAGGCAGCTCTTTGGCTGGAGACATGATCGTGGACCCAGAGATAGCAGAAAGCAAGAGAAAGAAAACAGAAGGCTTATGGCAGATTCACTGGGCAACAATCCACAGTCTTTGCTATGTACCACAAATCAATATTCCTAAGTCTGTAATAGTTGAAAATATGCATGTCTAATGATCTAGCAACATTCCTCCATATATAAAAATATAAATGTATAGATTTTCACTAGATGTTATGTACTAGAACATATATAACAGCATTTATATATTTATAATATATATATATAATCAGTCCCAAATGGAACAAGCATCCTACTGCCCTCCCCATGTTAGTTAAATGGTATTCCATGGGGACACCACACCATATTCTCTGGGGGTGAGATGTAGACATTAATATTTTTTGAAGTTCCCCAGATGATTCCACTGAACATTTGAGTTTGTATGACACTGCTATAAATTCTGACTGTCTCAGTCTATTCAAATGTTATTTCCTGCCAAATATGGTAAGGTTGGTAGAATCAAAAGGGTTGTCATCTGTTATGTTTTTTGTTTTTTGTACCGGGGATCAAACTGGGGACCTTGCAGTTGCAAGGCAGGCTGCGGAGCCATTGAGCTAAATCCTCGGCTGTCATCTGTTATGTTTGGAAAATGATTTAATTGGAAAGCTAGAGGGAAGATAGGAAAGGACTGCAGCTTAGGAAGACACACACTGATACAGGGGTTCAGACCATCTCAACTGTGTCACAGACTGGATCAGCTTTTAAAGATTAGCTGTAGATCCCTCTGCTGGGTATCTCTCCAAAAGAATTAAAAGAATCATACCACAGTGATATATGCACACCCATGTTTATAGTGGCACAGTTTGTAGGAGCTAAAACTTGGAAATGGCCCAATTGCCCATCAGTTGGAGACTGGATAAAGAAGATGTGGTTTTTCTATGAAATGGAATACTACTCAGCCATAAAGAATGAGAAACTAGAGTCATTCATAGGAAAATGGATACATATTGAGGATATACTCCTAAATGAAATAAATAAGACACTCATGTGTAAATACCGAGTAGTTTCTCTGGTGTGAAAAACTAAAAGTGTAAATAAGATCCTAATGGTATAATTGACAATGTGAAGTAGGAAGAAAAGGGCTAAAGGTGTAGGGGAAATGGGAAGAGAAGGGGAAAGGAAATAAGGGAAAAGAAAAAAACATGAGAAAATAAAAAAATGGAAACAAAATCTTTGTAAATCGTGGGGGAGAGGGTGAATGGAGGGCAGGGGTATGGGAAAAAATGAGAACTAATATCTGTCATGTAAGGGTACAAGATCTGGATGATAAATGTAACTGTGCTGCATACTTAGAAAGTACCAATAAACTCAGTGAGAAAAAAAAAAAAAGATTAGCTAGTGGCCTGGGTCCATTTGACTATTATCACAGTCCTGGTGTCATATGAGCTCTAGAATCTTTTTGGCTGAGAGGTGACTTTTTTGTTTATTATAGTTCTTTATCATTTTTTTCCTCCAAAAGTTTTCTAGGTTTTTCTATATTATATACTTTGTCTTGCATTAAGAAACAGATAGTGTCTTTAATTCTTTTCCTCAGCAATTTCTGGCCAACAGCTTGTTTTGGTCACACTTAAGCAGCCCTGTTTTATGAAGCCAGTCTGAGTCTCCAGAAAAATATGTTTGTTTTTTTTTTTTGTTTGTTTGTTTTAGAATCCTGGAAGCTAAAATTGGAATGACTGGGAATCACTGAGTTACACTATAAGTATCACCTTATAGATAAGCAAATGGAAGCCACAGACATCTCAAGCGACTTACCTAAGAATACTGTATTCACAGCACCCTACACAATGCCACTCGTTACAGTGATTCATCCTCTATGATTATGTCCATGCAACATCAGTTCACATGAAAATCAGGCCATGTGAAGGAAAATCTCAGATATTAAAAGTTGCAGATGATACATATAAATCTCAAGGCATACGTTGTGCCTGGCACATATATTCCTATATGAGTTACTAAAGCCCAATAATACATTGACAAATAAAGATAAAAAATGTATCATATAAAATTTTCAGTTCTTATTTCATTTTGTTGACCTTTTGTTTACCTAAAGAACAGTGAGTTTTTCTTTTTTACCTGTCATGTCCTGATATTTTCTTTTCTTTTCCTCATTGAGTTTGTTGGTACATTTTAGGTATACAGTACAGTTACAATCATCATTGGGATCTTGTACCTTTACATGACAGGTCTTGGTTCTCATTTTTTCCCCTTGTCCCTGCCCTCCCTTCACCCCCTCCTCCCCTCCCCATTTACAAACACTTTATTTCCATCTTTTCATTTTCTCACATTTTTTTCTTTTCCCTTATTTCCCTTCCCCTACCCATCCCACCTTCCCTACACCTTTAGCCCTTTTAATTCCCCTCTTTCTTTTTCCCTACTGCTCCCACTTCCCCTTCACCTTTGCACCTTTTCTTCCTATTTCACATTATCTGTTATACCTTTTAGTCCTTATTTCCACTTTCAGTTTCTCACACTAGAGAAACTATTCAGTATTTACACATATGTTGGGCAGATTTTCTGTTTGTGGATTATAATATACATTTGCAAAATTTAAACATGTATTTTTAAAGCATAATTGTAACCGTTTTCCATGTATACTGTCTAGGGCTTGTTCCTTGGTTTTTATTTTCCAACTATTAAGTGAAGTGTTTTTCGAAGTGTGAGGATTAAACCAGTAACATATGTGTCATCTGGAAAATCATTAGAAATGCAGATTATTAGATACTATGCCAGACCTGCTGAAAGGGAAACTCTGGAGATGGGCTTTCCAGATGACTCTGATGCAAGCTAAAGTTGAGAACTATTGCCCTTGTGTCTACAAGTACTTAAATCATATATCTTTAGTGAAAGTTCTTCCACAGTACGGTAGTAGGTATTTGGGCAAAAGAAGGTCACTGACAAATAATGTGTCCTTTTTGCAGGAACTGTTGTCTTTAATGGGTTAATTATTATTGTGATTTTGAGGGGTATAGCCAAACTGTTTGACTATAGAATCTTACAGTAGGGAACATCTTATAAGGCTAGTGTTTTGTAGAAGCACCTTTGGGAAACAGTACAGTAGTTGGAAGAAAGAATTCTAGGCCCAGAGATGGATTTTGGTACTGTTTCCAAGATTACTGATCATATGATCTTGGGTATGTTACTGCTTCTCTGAGCCTCCATTTCCTTATCCAAATAAGGGGGATAACAATAATAAAGATTATTGACTAATGTGAACAGTAATGAATGTAAGCAATGAATGTAAGCAATTACATAAAGAATGTAAGTAATGAATGTAAGTAATGTAAACTAGAGTAAAAGTTTAATCAACTTTAAATTATCATGATCATGATAGTTGTGCTGACAAATGACATTAGAGCTATTGCTGTCTGGAAAGAACATCAAACTGGGAATGAGGAGACCCAGGTGCTGGCCTTGGTTCTGTCGCTAACTAGTTTTGTTATCCTCATTAGATAGTGAGGAGCTGGGATGGGGCCCATGTTTTCTTACTGGAGTACATGGGTTGTGGAGAGAACACAAAGACTTTCTAGTGCATGGGCTTCTAAAAGCTAGACTGGATGGGCGCTTTGTACTAAGAATGTTGCTTGTGTCTGAGGATAGTGATGTTCTTTCCGGATCTCCTTTTACAAACTTCCCCGGCTCCACAGACAAAAACAAAACAAAACAAAACAAAACTGGCACATTTCTCAGCCATTCTGAATTTGATTAGGGTAGAAAATGCACCTAGGAAGGCATTGGAGTTAGGGCAGGAGTTAATAAACTGTGAGTAAAAACTATAATGAGAAATTATCTAATTAATAAATGCATTTCCAATAAAAATGTTTACTTTTGCTTTGGTAGAATTACCAAAACTTAAATATGTACAGTATTGTGATAAATTCTAATGATAATCCATATAGACAAAATTTTAACATAGAAGCTTAGCCATAGGAAATAAAAAGTGCACACATCTATGTGTGCATATATGTATATACTTTTTCTCCTGCAAACAAAATTTTTAAGATATATAAATATACTACAGATAGAATGAAATTCTACTAGAGAAATGGATTGGAAATACAAACTTAAGGAGAGAAATGTTCACTATATAATACCTAGCTTTTAAAACATGGGCATGTTTGCGTATATTTTTAATAGATAATTGTAATATAAAATCATTATGATATTTAGATTGCATTGGGTAAGTTATAAGAGAAATATTAATGATGCATTTATTTATTTGTTGAACTCATGATTGAAACCAGGGCCTTTGCACTAAGGTATATTCCTAGCTACATTATTTTATTTATTTTATTATTTTGAGACTGGATTTCCCTAAGTCACTTGTTTGCCCAGGCTGGGCTCAAACTTGGATTCTCCCATCAGCCTCCCAGATTGGTGGGATTCAGTGACCAACTGGTAGTTTTCTTTTTAAATGTCAATGTTTCCAATATATTACAAAAATAACATATTTCCAACTACTTAAACTTATAGTAAAAAAATTGATGTTACCTTTAAAATTTGCAAAGCAGAAGTACGTATTTTTTTCCTTTGAGGTGGAGACAAAGCAAGAGTGAAGACAGTGAGGCTGGAGCTGCTGTAAGATTACGCCTTGGCCCAGCTTTGAAGCCCACCCTGAGACAGGACTTTATGTGTGATCTACTGAGGAGGGGATCACAGGAGAATCAGTGAGGGAAGGGAAGAAGCAGGACCTGGATGGAAAGGGAGCCAAACAATGGTGTCATCCCAGGAAAGTCCCATAGAGGGTAGCTAAAGCCTGGATCTACAAGCGATCTCAGGTGGCTAAGGCTGCAGGATGTTCTGACCAGAAGCAAGGATGGGCTTCCTCACTCCTTCTGAGATCTGTGATTGGTCAAGAGCTTCCAGGGAGAGAGGAAAACCCCAGGCACTCATAGAGTGTGTGGTTAAATACTCTCTATCAGTTCACAGGTGCCTCTCTGAAGTGATAGGAAAAACTTTTATAAATAGCAAAAACCTATAAAGTGATACAGTGTAAAATGGCTTCTGCTGTCTCTAACAGCAGTTTGTTTTGTTTAGCTCAAAACTAATAGGCACCAAAGGCACTAATTGCTGAATGAGGCATTTGGTCTCACCCTGAGATAACGGGGCCCATCAAGGCTTGAGCTCCGAAGAGACTGGAGCCACAGGATCCTAAAAGTGTCTAGATGAAAGAACCCATTGCTAACATTTGCTCCCCTGACCCTGAACACCCCCTTCCTATGGACTAGAATAGAAAACTAGGTGAATCTTAATGGTAAACTCCCCAACTGTAAAGAACTGTTACGTTTAGGTTGAAAGTTAACTATCCTGTGACCATGATGTGAACTGTGAGAATGAAATGTTTCCACCCAAACGAAGTCAAGGCTGTGAAACCCTATAAAAGGAGGAGTTGTAACCCAGTGCATCATGGATCCAGGCACGGTTTATGTGCGATTGACCGTTATTGATGAGTAAATTTGTTATTTTACTTTCATTCTGCTGCCTCTCGGTGTGTCACTTACTAATTCCTTCCATAACAGAAGAATGGTAGATACCTTTATTGGGAATAAAAGCTCACATGGCTGTGGTTGAGGGCAGTGGGAAGAGTGGGGAAAAAAATCTTGCCCTAAAAATTAATGTTAAAAAAGTCAAAAGGATTCTGAAAAGAGCTTGGTCATTGTCTATTTTACACATTTCTTCAAATGTCTATTTAATAATACTGGCTACTAAATTTGCTAAGCATGGAAATTAAATCATAAATGTAGCAGTGTTTTCCCAGGGGGGAAAAATATGTCCATAGTTTTGCTTATATGAAGCATGATCAAAATTATGGTGAATCTTTTAAAATTAAAAAAAATTACAGTAAAAGATATATTGCCATCAATCCTCCTCAAGATACTCCCTCTTCCCACTGCTAATACACTTTCCTATTCTTGCCACATTCTGAAGCAGTTCTCAAAGTCCTCTTTGTGAGTATCTTTAGTTGTGCTGTTACACTTACCATTTAAGGGCCTCTTGACTTAGGGGAGGAGCCAAAAGTCACATGATGCCAGATTTGGTGAATAAGGTGGATGAGGACACAACATAGCTTTATTTTACAGAAGTTGTGATCACAAAATATAGTGAATGTTTAAATATAAAAATATATTACAGTAAAAGATAGTGCCATTAATTCCCCTGAAAATATTTAATATACCCCCCTGCTTTGAACATATTTATCCCATTGTTCTTGGCAATGTGTCTTTTACTGTAATAAGTCTTTTTTAAAATTTGAACATTCACCCTATCTTTTGATCACCCCTTGTATGGTGTTCATTTATGTCTACTATGATATCACACTGAATTGGACTTTTATTTTAATTATTAAAATGGCAAAAAATCTGCTCATGTTGTTTGGTAGGTGGCATGTGAAGGAGTAAACTCTTAAGGGGACATTCTAAGCAAATATAATGACATTCAGGGAAGTCCATATGTTTATGTTTTGCAGATGATGAAGATTGAAGATGATCCTAGCAGAAGAGAAAATAACCCTATTGGCATGTATAATTCCGAGTTCTAATGAGAAAAGTAACATCTGTGACAGTGGTCAGTGGCAGGACTTCTTCATCAAAACTACTGAATGAGCATGCTAAATTTTGCTCTTGGTCTCAAATCTGCAGAAAACACTTTCCTGAATAAACACACCATCGAACACACCTAAACAAATGATTTCATTTCTCCTGAGAACTTGAAGCATTATCTGAATCTTTTTGGATTCTGAATTTTGATTCTGAATTTTGAACAATTTTGATGATGTAGCTGCCTAATGAAGATTTTGGTGTAATTTCTATTACATATCTATCTCAGATTGATTTCTTAAGTAAAGAGAATTTACAATTAGAATGTCCTAGGAATTTTTGAAAACCTATTTTAGCACTGGAAATCCATGTCCATATCTTTTGATATGGTATGATCCCAATGTTGCTCCCAGCACTATCTGTAAAACCTATCAGTCAGTCTGCTGTACCTATAGTCTATTCCTTCTGTCTATCAGACATCCACAAAAGAATGGAATTAATTCACAGGAAGGAAAAACTTGAAAAGGTACTTTTATGAACTGCTGCTTTGTGTTGTGATCAGTTATTCTGTTTTAGTATGTTTTGCTTTGCATATATTTTGATTTTTGCTTCAAGAAATCATAGATAATAGGAGGTGGGAAGATAGGCCTTTCTCAAATGGGAGGATCAAGAGATGCAGGGAAGAGAGGAAAAGGGGGAAAGGGGATGAAAAAAGGAATTAGGAAGTATTATGTACATGCACCAGAATTTAAACTATGTATTAACACATGTACTAGAAGTTATAGAAATGCATAAACATTCTATATGGTCAGAGATGTTCTTGCTACAATATAGCAAAGACAAGTCTAACCCAGAAACGTATTCTATTTTTATGTAATGGTATTCTAATTCAAAATATATTTTGAAAATACATGATATATAAAATAAGCCAATAACAAATTGTTTTAAAATCATTTAATTTAAAAGTTCAAATTGTATAATTGATGAAGTGAAGTAGAAAGAAAAGGGCTAAAGGAGTAGGGGAATTGGGAAGGGTAGGGGAAAGGAAGGAAGGGAAAAGAAAAATATGAGACAAGGAAAAAATGGAAACAAAGTCTTTGTAAATAGGAAAGGGTGGAGGCGGTTAAGGGAGGACGGGAGTATGGGCAAAAAATAAGAACCAGATATATCATGTAAAGAACCCAATGATGAATGTAACTGTATTGTATACCTAAAAAGTATCAATAAACTTAATGAAGAAATCATTCAATTTGATTAAGACAAGTAATTACTAAGTCAGTGACCATGTGTTGTATAAAAGATGAAATGACTCTTAATAGGCTAAGACTTGGCAATTTACTCTTTTTTTCACAATAATTTTCCTTAACATTACTGTTTTTGTTTATATAATTTTAAAATAATTAACTCTAAGTTGTCAGAATTTTTTTAAAAAGTAGTCATTTATTGATCTTTGAGAAGTTCTAGGGCCTTGGATTACCCTGCCTCACAAGCACAAGGGCCTGAGTTTGATCCCTGCTACAAAAAAAAGAGAGAAGTTCTAAGGTAAACTACTCATTTATAGAGTTTTATTTTTCCATAAGAGCCCTGCAGTGTGTGTGTGTGTCTGTGTGTACACATGTGTTCATGCGTGTACCTGTGGGCATATGTAAATGTGTATAAATGTATGCACGAAGAACATAACAGATCCCTAAATCTGAAAGTGACATGGTTATAAAAAAAATGGAACCATGGCAACTCATGCTTTGCTGAGGGCAGATAAATTATCATAACTTTGAATAGCATAATTTTGCAATATCTAGTTAGGGATCCTACAGCCATCAATCACACTGCTAGATCTGTATGTCTGTGTGTGAGAATATCTCACTCATGTACATAAGTGACCAAATACAAATGTGTTCATGGCAGTGCTGTGTGTTTTAGCAAAGAGTTGAAACCAATCTAAATATCTAAATGTAGGTTGTTCATATAATGGAATGTGATACAGCTGTTAAATCGATAAACTGGAGCTACATTTGTTTACATGGACAAATCTCAATGATAATAATTAACCAGAAAAGTTGCAGAAAGACACTTTATGACATAATTTACACAAATTTATGACAAATTTTAGACAACATTTTAAAAGTCCCCAAAGCAATGCCACAAATCATTTATGACTACTGAAGGCCCCACTGTAAGAGTGAAGGAATATATGGAGATACAAACACCAAACTCAAGACAGTGGTTGTCTTTCAATGGCAAGAGGTACAGCAAGGGAATATCTTATCTCTTAAGCTGGGTGGTAGGAAAATGCACATTTTTTACTCTTTGTTTTTGGATGCCTGACATTTCATAATTTAAAAGAAAATGAACCAAGTCTTAAAATATAAATGCAAAATTCAAGTGAATCTTTATGCTACATCTAAAGCCATGTTAGAAATTGGAAGAGATTTTAAAACATAGATAACTTTCTTGCCTTTGAGGAGTTTGCAGAAAGTCAAGGCATTCCAGTTAGTAACACACTAGAATAATGGTTTTCCTGAACAATGAGTATGAGGAAAACTTGTTCCCTTCTCTGATGTGCCACGTTATTTTGATCAGTGTACCAAATCAGTTTACGTTCCTCTAAGTATACAATCTTTTGATATGATTTTATACCTGAGTAGTACTTTGAGACTGTATAGAGCACAGCACAATTTGTTGCATGTAAGAGGTAAAAGGGATGACATCAAATGACATTGTTTCACTGGAGAATCAATGGCACTTTAAATTTAAACAATTTAAATGTGTACTTTGCACACTCAGTTAAAAATATAATAATTGAATGTGTACTACAGAGGCACTAAAAATCAAGAGCCAGCAACAGAGAATGATCATAGGATGATAAAAATACAGTACACAAATTTGAAGAGTAAGATTGTTAAATACGACTAGTAATTGCTTTGGAAATCAGAGAAGAAAAAAGTGACTTAAGATTTAAATAATTGGAGGAGACTTGAAAGAATAAATAGGATTACAGCAAATCTCTATGTAAAGGTAATAATAAATGCTTTCCTTTCAGTTTCTTGATGGTAACAGCACTTCAGATATTTCTAAAGGTCAATTTCGAGTCTGATCTTTTGACCTTTCTCTCCTTTCTCTCTCAGTCTAATCTCTTCCCACTGCAAGAAACCTCGTCCCCTCCCTTCCTCCTATTTGTTTTTCTGGGCTGGCTGTTACCTGGCACATCTTCCATACTATTAACAAAGCTTACAAAGGTAGTGCTTGCCCCACTTTATATTCATCTAGCACTTGGCTCTCTCCTTCTGGGCCATCACCAGGAAGGCTTTTGATGGCCCATTAACTCTAAGATGTCGCCAAGAGGCACTAATGTAAATCTTGCACACTTCTTTCTCAGAATGGTACCTGGGACTTAAGAAATCCAGTAAAGCCCAATCGGTGGGACTGGGTGGCCATGCCCTCCCCAACCTGTGCTGCCATCTCTCCAGCTCAAGGAAGGTGAGATTTGGGAAGGCTGATCCGAGATATGCTCTCCCTCTGGCCTGCTTGGGCCCAATCTGCAGGACTGGGTAGCCTTGTCTTCCCCTGCCTTCACCACCATCAGCTCCACCACAAGGAAGGTAGCCATGCGGGAGCCCCTGAAACCCCCTCCCAGACCTCTGATTGTGCCAGTCCTTGGACCCACTCTGCAGAGGCATAGGTGGTCATAAAGGGTATTTTTTTGAAAGAAAGGGCAGGGGAAACCTGTAGTAGAACTGGGTGGAGTTCAACCCTGCATGAGGTTGGAGAACTCAATCTGGGCCGTGTGGCCTGAGGTCAGTCTATGTCATGGGGGCCTGCCATTGGCTAGCTGAGATCAGGGGACTTGGTTCTGCACATGGCTGTGCATGTTGTATATTGTGACAGCAGAGATAAAGTCTGAAAGAGGCCCTTCAAATTCATTTCTTTCTTTCTTTTCCTCATTACACCCTGAAAATTATTTCTTTTTTCTGTCCTCTTTCTCCAACTCAATCTCTTTCTCCACCATATTATCCCTCATCTGCCTTTCTGTTCCTGCCCTAACTCAGATTTCTTCTTTTATCATTTTTTCTTTTTTCTTTATGTTCTTTTCTTCTGTCATTTTACCTCACTCATGGGTCAGTGGTTTCAAGGGAAAGTGAGCCCCTATTACTGTTAAGGGGATATATTCTTGTGCTTATTCTTGCATTCTGTTTATCCCTTTTGAATTTAACAGTTTTCTAAAGATTGTATGGTCATTCTATGTCCTCTGGCTTCACTTGAAACCTTCTCCAATTCTTTTACTTATCTACTCCTCTAGTCCTAACTCTGTATAAGCCCCCATCCTAAATGGTAAATATGATATATTGAAAAGTTTATTCACTGCAAACATATTTTGGGCTGCTTCTTGATTTTAATTTAATTCACATGGTTTAAAGGTGATAGAATAATAACATCCGGGAATGGTCAATTTGCAAGTTGTAGTTGATCCTATTGTGTTGCTGATTGCATCAATTGGGATAAAGGATTGTGATTGATTTAATAAGTTGTTTTCTCTGATATTATGAAAATGAGAATGTCTGTGAGTCATTAGAGACTCAAAAGCTAAAGTGCAACTACATCAGGAAGATTTAAGTAACAACTCAGAAATTACAGGAATCTATGGGACACAATGAAAGCAGCTCTATGTGAAAAATTCATAGCACTGAATGCCCACACTAGGATAACAGAGTGAGCTCAAATAAACAACTTAATGATGAATCTTAGACTCCTAGAAAAACAAGGGCAAGAAAAACCCAAAGCTTGAACAAGAGAGGAAATTATAAAGATTAGAGCAGAAATCAATGCAATGGAAACTAAGAAAATGATACAAAAAATAAATGAATCAAAGAGTTGGTTTTTTGAAAGAATAAATAAAATTGATAAACCCTTAGCTAACCTTTTCAAAAAAGGGAAGAAAAGGCTCAGATCCATGCAATCAGGAATGAAAAAGGCAAAGTCACAACAGATCCAACAGAAATCCAGAGGATCATTAATACCTACTTTGAGAACCTGTACTGAAATAAAATGGAAAACACAGAAGAAATGGACAGCTTTCTAGATACTTATGAAGTACCAAAGTTGAACAAAGAAGATAAAAACATTTTAAACACCCCAATTACAATCAGTGAAATTGAAAATGTAATTAAAAATTTACCAACAAAGCCTAGGTCCTGATAGATTCATGCTGAATTATACAATACATTTGGTGAAGAACTACTGCCATTACTCTTTAAACTTTTCAATGAAATTGAAAGGGAAGCAATACTTCTAAATTCATTTCTAGAAGCAAGTATCACTTTGATTCCCAAACCAGGGAAAGATGCAACTAAAAAAGAGATCTACAGGCCAATCTTCTTAATGAATATAGACGCAAAAATCCTTAATAAGATACTAGCAAACAGAATACAGAGGATCATGATGAAGATCATCCATCCTGACTAAGTCAGATTTATTCCAGAGATTCAAGGATGGTTCAATATATGTAAGTCAACAAATGTAATACACTATACTAAAAAAATCAAGGACAAAAACCATATGATCTTTTTGATAGATGCAGGAAAAGCAATTGAAAAGATTCAACACCCATTCATGATAAAAACCCTGCAAAAAATTGGAATAGATGATCTGTATCTCAACTTAATAAAGGTAATCTATGAAAAACCAACATCCAACATCATATTAAATGGCCAAAAATTGAAAATCTTCATGTTAAAATCAGGAACAAGACAAGGATTCCCACTATCACCACTCCTCTTTGATATAGTTCTGGAAACATTAGCCATAGCAATTAGATGAGAGAAAGAAATTGAATCAATAAAGATAGGAAAGGAAGAAGTTAAACTGTTATTATTTGCTGAAGATATGATACTCTACATTGACGACCCAAAAAACTCCACCA